CAAAAGTTTATACAAGTACATTGCTTTTGAGGTGAATATATATATATATATATATATATATATATATATATATATAATATATATATAATATATATATATATATATATAAGCAACTTTTTTCTGTACATACTACTACGTTGGTATTGAAGATGGTTGAGAAGTTTATAGGGTGGATCACAACAATAGTAGAAGCGAGTTTAAAACTAAATTCAAGGTAATTTAAAACTGAGTTCTTATATAACTATTTATAATGTGAATATTCATACATGAATATTTATATATGATTATTCATATATGAATATGAGTACTTAAATATGATTATTCATATACGAGTACTCATATATGAATTTTACATTCGGAATATACCTTTCGGTATTTATATATGATTTAAAATGTGTAAATTATTTTTTCATTTTTTTATTATGTTTTTGTATCAGCTTGGAATAAAAGTTAAAGAGAAAGAAATAAAATGCAGTTATGAACACCTCAACCGTATGGGTTTTTTATACATACATGTTTTCTCAATAATGATGGAATATGGTGTTAAAGAAATTCCTAATATGTACATTCTGAAAAGATGGAGCAAGGACATGATATCAAGGAATTATCATTTTACTTCTCATCAATCCGATTCAGAAGATCGTCACAGTGTGAAGCTAATTAATGAATCATATTATAGTTTTGAAACATATTTAGATATTGTAAGAGATGACAAAAATAAATTGGCTTCCTTTTGCTGAGAAAAAATAGATTTTGTTGAAGGAATTCAAGAGTGATTGTACATCTGTAAATTTAAAAAGCAAGACATGTGTTGAAGTTGTAAGCAGGCTTATGGGTGTTTCTATTCCGATTCCAAAAGAAATTAATATTCATGTTCGTCAAGTTCAAGGAAATAAAGGTTATGGAATCAAGAAAAGAATCCCAAGTGCAGGTGAAACAACATATGTCAATTATAAAAAACAAAATAGAATGTGCTTAGGATGTGGAGAACGAGTTCCTCACAATTTACGTATGTGTGCAGTAAGAATTGCAGTTGCTCAATCAATAAAAGACATCTAGATTTTTTATTAGGTTATGAATAAAATATTGCTACATATGTTTTTTGTTTTTATAAGTTATTTTCCTTCTATTCATTTATGAATATATATATATATATATATATATATATATATATATATATATATATATATATATATATATATATATATATCATAAACGAACTTAGTAAGTGAATAGTAAAGACAGGTATATTCGTATATGTTTTATAGAATTATAATCATGTTTGAAAAAACAATATTCTTTTGTGATTGTGGTTTATCATAAGCTAGTAATTAAGACATTTATATTGATATGGATAAATCAAATGTGAAATACATTTTAATTACAAATAAATACATCATAAAAATCATAAATGAAAACATATATTTTGGTATTCATTTATAAATATTGGAGCTATAATGATATTAGAGTATTATTTTATTAATAAAGAAGTTATATTCATATGTGAACTTGTTGAATTCTAATGTATATAACATATTAATCTTAACTGAACCTTAAATGAATACATCATATTTGTATACATTTATAAATGAAGAAGTTATGAGTTATAGCTTAAATGTAAATGAATATATCATTATGGTATTCATTTATGAATAAACAAAAATAAAATTGTAAACTATCATAAACAATCAAACATGTTCATAACTCATTATCATAAACTTTTGAAAATATTTGAATATAAAAAACAAAACAGAAATAAGGAAGCTTGTTCTATTACATAATCATTCAACACAAAATAATAAAACCTGTTCAGAAGCATTTCACAAACTATTTAAAAGTTGTTCAGAAACACTTAACAAACCATCTAAAAGTTGTTCACGAACTTGTTTCACAAACCATCTTACATGTCCTCCAAAACCATCCCACTTCATTATAAACCGTCCTTCGAAATCATTACACTTCATCACAAACAAACATCAATAATTTTTTAATGTCTTTTCAATTGTTTGCATAGCCTTGTATGCATGAGCGTTATGCACTATGAATTCCACATTTTGATATTTATAGGCGAGATCTAATACCTTAACCTTCAACGTGTTAATCTCGAGAGTTAACATTCGGTAGGCATACCTTTTCCTGATCTTCTCTAAAAGTAGTTTGTTGAATTTAACTTTCTTTATAAAGTCCTTGTTTCCACTTTGATATTAGTTGTCCTATATACGTCTCCATATGTCTGATTACAAACATCCAACAATCAACTTTATTTTTAACTATTATTCATGACATTTCAAGTCGTTCTGGTATGATAGCTTTGTTTGAGATTGCATTGGCTTTTGGATGGTTTATTTCTTTCAAGTATCTCAAAAACAAATTTATTTGATGATTAAAGAAAATAAAAGTTAGATATGTAATAAATTGGTTCTGATACATTGTTATGAAGTGAGTACTTACCAGAGGTTTCAATAGTACTCTAAATTTCCCTTCATAATCCCCTTCAACCTCATTCTTGTCCAAAATATCAACTTATTGTTTCTTCAAGTTGAAAACAATCACAAAAATGTGACTACTTCTAACAACTGGGAAGAATACTTGTGTTTTATGTATATAACGGTAAGTGGTGTGTTGATAAAATATATAAAAACCCTATTAAATTAACATACCATGTCGATGTATTTTATCTTTAATATTTTTTTTGTACCCAAAAGTGTTCTCATGAAGGTTTTCCTTGAATACTATAGATATTTATTTTTGAGATGTAAGCATTCTATAAGCAAAATAATTTTAAAGGATTAGTAAGTTGTTAATCATTAATGAATATGTCATATTCGTATGTTAATCATAAGTGAATACTATAGATATTTATATTTGAGATGTAATATTTATATGTGAATAAATCATAAATGAATACATAATATTTTGTTATATTCATTTATGAATAAATAAGTTCTATTGAGATGTGAAAATTTATATTTACATTTGATAAATTTATTTTATAAATAAGTTATATGATTTTTATATTCATAAATGAATACATCATATTGCTATAATCATATGTGAATTTCAGTTGCATATAAATGATTATCTTAAATGGTTATAAGGAACATACTAAATAAATTTAATATTCATAAATGAATACATCATATTGGTATATTCATTTATGTATAAAGAAGAAATTAATGTTAGAACATAAAATTTCAGAAACATCAACTTTCAAGAAAAGTCTGAATGGTCAATTTATGACATCTCTTCCCAGTTCTTGGTGGTTAAGTAAGTCAGCTCAAGTTTCTAAAATTTCTGCAAAAATCTCGATGTTTCCACATATATATTTTCCATAATTTCTCTTTGTGTTACCTGACCATATTTTGTCTAGACAACCACATCTCTGCAAATATGTAATCCAGTGTCAAATATTTTATTTATATAATAAGCATATATGAATAGGTCTTCAAAATAAAGTTACTTACGATGTATCCCCTTGCAAGTTGGACAACCACTCACAGATAATAATTTCCTCATGTATCAGCTTAGGTTTTGTGTGTATTATCGTGTATTTGTAAGGTGATTTGAAAGCATCAACAGGCTTCTTTGGTCTTGGTTCATCGAGATCATTCTCTGATGGTAATTGCTACAGAGATTGGATTTGGATCAAGAACATTTGATTTTGATAATCTGATCATAAGCTTTTGATGGTCTTCCTTTATTTGTTTCTTTGTAAGTGGCATTTTTGGTGAAGATTCATTTGATTTTTTATCTAAAGTTTGATTTGAATCTTGACTGCAACCTAAACTAAAGCTTGGATCAGTATTATCTTCATTTTTTTATTGTCAACCTGCTTGAAGATTTATATACTATATTATTATAGTATGAAAAAGGTAAAATTTAATGTAATATATGAAGTATAATTAATTATTGAATCGTATATTTACCTTCATCACCTCCTTTTTTTTGTTCTCAACTTCAACCCTATTTTTATCTCCATGAGCATCATTATTATTTCCTCCATTCCCTGCAAAATTCAAATCATATATGAATATTGAATCTATAATAGCATTTTTCATCTATAAATAATCATATATATATATATATATATATATATATATATATATATATATATATATATATAATATATTTCATATTTTATTCATATATGATTACTGATCATTCCAATCATATATGACTTTTCAAATGTTTTTCCAAATTGTTACCTTCATCTTTATTTGCCTCGGTAGTATTAACTCCTGATTCATCTCCAAGTTCAACATTTTTTGTTTCACCTTTCCCTGAAAGATTTATATCATAAATAAATATTCTTTTTTTAATATTCATTATATATGAAAAAATATATAAAACCTATAAAATTATATTAAGATAATAAGTATAATTAATTAGTGAAAAATCGATTTACCTCCGTTATTTCCTTTTGTCTTCTCAGCTTCTCCTCCTTCTTTATTTTCTATCTTCAGCCTTTTCCTTGCCTGAATGATACACATCATATATGAATATTCAATCTACATATAAAGTAACGCATTACTTATTCATAAATGAATATAAACATTTTAATATATTCACTTATGAATAAGTAATGCATAACATTACTTGTGAACAAGTAATTCTATCTTTTACTTATTCATACATAAATAGTGTGTTACTCACTTACGAATAAACAAGCGTATTAAAAAATCAATATAAACATTATAATATATTCACGTATTAGTGAATCATCCATTTACCTGTATCAATTCTCTTTCCCTTCTTAACTTTTTCTCCAATATATTTTTCATTTCAAGGTCCTTTCAGATTTCATCTTCTTGACTTCTTAAACTTGAAATTCCAATGCTAAGCACATTACCCACAACTTTTTGTAACAAATTTATCCAACTGATTTTGATTTGTTTCATTTTTTCACTAGTCTCTCCATCATTATATGTTGCTTCAGTCTCCCATCCTTTTTATCTTCATCATTCTTGTTTTCATTGGTCTCTCCATCATTATATGTTGCTTCAGCTTCCCTTCCTTTTTCTCTTCATCAAATTTTTTTTGGTTTGTCCATCATTCTCTATTCCTTCATTATCCCCATCCTTTTTGTCTTTAGCATTCCGTTTTTCACTGTTTCCTTCGACATCATGATGCATATTTTCATCATTTCCATTAAGCAAATAATCTAATTCAAGTTCATCATTATCATCTTCATCATCATTTTCTTCAACATATCTTTGACCATTGTCTTCTTCACCATTTCCCTCTTTATCTTCATTCTCATTTTCATAATTTCTTTCTTCACCTATAACTTATGTCAAATTAATACCTTCAAGTCTAGTTACATTACTCATAAATTTAAAACTTTCCATCCTTCCATTTTTATCTTCAATAATTAGATTTGTGATCTTTTCTTTCAAATTCTTGAAACTTTCCTTTTCGTGAAACTTTGTAATTGCATCATTGAATTTTGAATTCAGTTTTTCCTTCATCCTCTCAAAAGCATCAGAAATTTTAGATAATTTCAATTCATATGCCTATGTAATAAAAAGAAATATAATTAGAAATTTATATAATAAACTAGTGTAACCATATATGATTAAAATATTCAAATAATTACCTCAACCAAATCATCTTCATCTTTATCAGAATCACTATCTTCCTGACTAGTATCTCCTTTAACTTTTTCATTAACAATATCTTCATTTAATTCCCCAAGACCAAATTTACCTATTTCTTGTTCAAACATCTCACAACATCTTATCTTTTCTGAACTCCAATAACATATATATAATAATCATATATAGTTATTCATATATATATATATATATATATATATATATATATATATATATATATATATATATATATATCTGTGTGTGTGTGTGTGTGTCCTAATGAGCACATACAACAGATTTTTCCTAGACTCCACTAGGACTTCGCATCTTTACCAATGTCCTACCTTACTAATATATGCCCTATCAAGAATATATTAAACTTCCTAGAATCTATTTCTAAGATTCCTTTTCACTTTACCATACTATTATCTAAGGAAGAACTTATACCAATATTAACTAATTATCGGACGAATACGATTACATGCCGCTAAAATCAAACAGTCTACCGACTGAAAGATCTAACACTACAATGGTTAGACTCAGACGAGAGTTGTGAAATAGCGCCAAATCAAGCATTCTAAGACTATTTAATTTTGGAAGTATGCAACCTAATGTATTTGTCAAATAACTAATTAATATCAATATATGGACTCCTCGTGGTACTTCCGTTTCGTACTCTCTGTCCTGTTCTGTTCTGTCTGTTAGGTCGTGGTGCCCTGACAGAGATATTGTTCAGTCAAATGATAGGGCAATTGTTTTGCACTGTCAAAGGTAGTGAGTCTGGATGCAGCAACCATACCTTGAACTAGGGGAGTTTGCCCCCAAATATACCTTTCAATATTTTTGTATGTTGAGTTTACTATACCCGGGCAGAGGTTGGCGAGGTCGTTAAATCGGGAGGTGTAAGCAGTCACCTCCAACTCTTTCATAGTGAGGTTCCACAATTCTTATTCTAGGGCATGAACTTCTTGTCGAGAACAATACTCGATCAGCATCTGTTTCAGGGCTTCCCAAGTAATAGCACAAGGTGCATCGATTCCCATAGACATGGTATGGTTATTCCACCAATCTCGGGTGGAATCCATTAGTGTACAAGTAGCATACTTAACTGGATAGTCATTAGTACATGAATCGATGTGGAACACTGCCTTCATCAACCCTATCCACTAGGATAGACCAATGGCTCCTTCCGTAACAAAGAAGGATTGGGGTTTGTAGGCTAAGAAATCCTTGTATAAATAGGATCTGGGGTTGTTTTTGTTAAAGACTGGAATACCGCCATCAATTTCACTATTCATGGAAGATCCATTCCGGGCAGCCTCATATGTAACTAAGGCTGTAGAAATTCCTTGAGCAATCTGAGTTTTGACTAAGGTTGAGTCTATTTGAAATGATGACGGTGGGTGTGATGGGTTTTGAGCATTACATCGATCCTATGGTGCACATACAAACTCTAAAGCTTTGGATCTAGTTTATCTAGTTGTACATGCAATAATCATCCAAAGCTCATAAACCCTAGATCTAGTATACTATAATCGAAATTAACATGTAATTAGGGTTTAGATCTTACCTTGATTGTTATGTAGCAATAACAATCACAAACCTTCTTTGATCTTGACTCTTGAAAGCTTAGTGCCCCAAGTGTTGCATCTCTAATGGAGTCACAAACACCACTAGCAATAAGAATGAACAAGAGAGAGAGAGAGAGAGAGAGAGAGAGAGAGAAAAGAGGCATAAAAACGTCCAAGATCTTCTAAGAAAGCTTAGCCACGTTTTTGGGAGCCTTAAGGGTCCTTATATAGTTGAGGCTTCTGGGGGTTATCAACTTGGAAACCCTAATCCAGTTGCTTAGTCCTTAAGCAACCCAAAGATCCTTCCAGAAGGCCCTTTGGACGATTTCTATATGACTCTCATATAGAATTCGTCCATTGCTTCTTTATGGATCCTAAGCCCAACTTTGTAACTATCTTATAATTACAGTATTAGTCCCATTTATTTAATTAATCTCTTTCGACCACTAAATTAATTCTTGATCAATATTAATTAAACAATATGATTTCTCTTTTAATATATTATTCACATAATATATTAATAAATCATAATTAATCCTTTTTCTCCTTAATTCATCCTATCAGTTGTTATGGTGAAGGCAACCCAAAAGGACCATGCTCATAATCGGGTCAAGTACATACCAAAATAGTTATGGGATTACACACCTAATCCAACAGTCTCCCACTTGGATAAGTCTAATAACTCTTTTGCAAGTACGACTTCATAATCCGATTAGCAATCGTAGCTTTCAAAATCCGTTGTCAACTCTTATCTTATCATTAACGCGTCCTTTAGATAAGGGATCATATATTCCTCCATTCTAGATGTCATATAGACATGATACATGGATTATAATCATTCTCTCAGTCTATGTGTTGTTTCCCGATTTCCGGTTTATGACGACTGACAACAGACTACAATTGAACACATCAACTTAGTCCCGGCTTGGCCAAGTGCTTAGGGTGTCATCACTAAATCATCGAGGAGCCCACAGATATTGCTTTTATCCCACTTTGGGTAAAAGGAATGGATAAACTTCGACTCAAATGCTCGCTTATACCTACTCATCAAATCACACACAACAATACGTTTTATAACACCAAGTTACTGGTGCGTTTACATATTATCAATATGCAACCGACTTGTAAATTACAAGTCACATGTCTCCGTTTCAAGAATATAAGATATTATCGTCTCACTAATCACTCGTGATAAAATCCATGAAGTGATTCAAGTGAGCGTGGGTTTAATCCAATACTCAAATTTTATTTCAGGAGTACTCATGAACACTACAACAGACTTTTGCTATGTCTAAACGCTTTAAACAATATACAGTCAGATTCATGACAGTCTAGCTTCAATACCTACTTCCAAAGTATTTATCGACTGTGGATGGTTCGAATAATCTTATTATTCGGGAAGTCAAAACATGCAAAGTGAAACACAAGAATAATCGAATCCAATATGGTTTCAAACTTTTGAGTATAAATAAAACACCTTTTATTTAGTCACCATATCGATTACACATTATTCATTGTATAATGTTTCGGATAATCAACTTATCACTTGAATTGAAACAATAGTTATCCCATGCTCCAAGCATGCACACTATGTTTACCTATGGTCCTTACATTGTGAGATAGATCAATTGAACACATTTCCAATGATACTCATTTCACAACTCCCAATCCTTATCACAAGTGTAAAAATACCAAATTCTTGCCATTATTAGAATATGTTAGATTCAAACATTTTACGCAATGATTCTTTTGTAATGTCAAAGCACCAAAGTCACCAAGACTTGTCCAATGAAATTACAAAGTACTATATGAAGTCTCACATTCAAAGTACATTCCTTTGAACATCCTTCTTGCATAAAAGTTTCTAATCTACATAGATTCTTAATATCCAACTCCCATTATGGAAACATTTCCATATTTGCCATATGACAACTTATTCTATATATAATCCTATCTATTCATAATAATGTCGATATGGTCCATCCATTACAATACTTCCAACTGCCCACAAGTGACCAATCCTTGGCGAACCTTAGATTGTCCTTGACAATTGTTTAATTAATTTTAGTCATATCCGGTTCTGGTCCTTTTTCCCTCTTAATGCCCTAGGCATTCGGAAAATCAGAACGGACGAATATTACAACATATGCAATCGATCCTATACCCGAAGCGTATGGGATACGATACATAATGTCTTACATAAAGACATGATACTTTACCAGTCTCTCGCTATAATATTGCCATATATCAAATTTCCTTATGTTGAATCTTTTCAACATACCATTCATATATGTCCTTTGACTAAATTTGATTAAAATTTATCGATCTAAGCTTTTAGATTTGAAATGAAGTATAATATTCTCTCCCTTAATTATAGCAAAACAACTTTTCAACCCCTGCAACTTTTCAAAGTGAAACTTTTGTTTTCTATAATTAATATTGCTAACTTGCAACACTTAAAATAATAATCATGCTCCCACTAACATGATAATTATATCCATACCAGCATAACATTTATGCTCCCACTAGCTTCGACACGTATTCAGAAAGCAGTTGGACTTCTAGACATCAATACTTATTGACTTCCAAAGTTCATATTTCTAATACGATATGCTTCGATAAGCCTTTATCTAAGCTTCTCAAACTCATACACCTTTCCTTAGATAACTCATATGTATGTCTAAACTAATTTAGAACTTATAGCAATAAGTCCTAAATGTTTAGACTAATTGCCAAATCTCACAATTCGAACAATGAAGAGGGATGCCGTAATCATAATCGAATTTGAGAACGCAAATATCACAATTGCTATCTCCTTAAAATCTCTCTTAGTGAAAGCGTTTCCTCACAATCATTTTCATGAAACGGAGAGAAACCTTATGACACTTAGATTTTATGGTGTATGTGCTCCTATCTATGTGAATTTGTCATAACCATAATCATAAGATAATGTTTGTGACAAATCAAAACTCTTATGGACAGAACTTGTTCATTCTTAATTTCTTGCCATCAAGGGTCCCACGATTGGTTCCAAGTTATTTAGCAGATCACCTATACTAGTCAATGCAGTTTCATTGAACAAGGTGATTGCCTTTAGGCAGTCAATTGAGAACTCGTAAAACTTATATGCATAAGTAACTTTACTGGAATGACATAGAAACAAAACTGTGTCAACTAGTGATTAACAATAGGTTTACTCTTGATTAGTTCTTGAAATTTTTCAAGATCTTTAAGACTCCCACTGACCTCTTGACATATAAGATTCTTTTGTCAAAAAAACATTGCTTGTCAAACAAATATTCAAGAGTTAGTGCAGTTTCTTTTCAAGATAAACACCTCACACAATTGGTCCTAGTTGGTCTTTCTCTTATCCACGACATCACAACTTACCAATTTCAAATGTACAAGAGTAATAAACTTTTCTACTCCACATTTGATGAGTGTTCTTCAACCTTTTCTTAATATTTTGTCACTCAAGTCACAATCTTGGAGTATTACTCTAAGACTCGATTTTGGAACGAAGTATGACTCATCCTTTTGATTTAACCATTTCAACAATT